CGGGCGAGGTGGCGGGCGCCTGTAGTCCCAGCTACTGGGGAGGCTGAGGCAGGAGAATGGCGGGAACCCGGGATGCGGAGCTTGCAGTGAGCTGAGATCGCACCACTGCACTCCAGTCTGGGCGACAAAGCGAGACTCCGTCTCAAAAAATAAATAAATAAATAAATAAATAAATAATAAAATAAAGTAAAATAAAATAAGCAGTGTCTGAGTTTAACAACCTTCTCGCAATATTTCCTGAAAATGTGCTAATCGGCTCTCTCGAGCTGCTGGGAGCAGTTCCAGGGCAGCACAGAGCTGTTCCCTCCGGCGAAGGAGCCCACATCCACGTCCACTCACGGTCAAGGTGATACGCCCCAGCCTCACCAAGAGGCCCAGTGCTGCCGGCACAGGCCCCGCGTGGGTCAGTTTCTACCAAGCGGCCAGATATCCCAGGCGTTTTATTGATCCTATTGACCACGGCAAATGGCCGCTGGGCACCAATTCAGCGCCAGCCCAGGCTCAGGGACTGTCACACGTGGTCCATGTAACTCACAGTAATCCTGTGCCATGGTTACACCACGTTACAGCTGAGGCCACGGAGGCTGGGTAAGAGGAAGGCGCTTGTCTTAGGACACGTGGTTAGCAGAGGGTAAGACTCAGACTGGAAACCTTTCTTCTGTCCTGACTAGGGGAGAAGAGCAAGGTGGGGGAAAGGGCACCTGTCCCCAAGGAGCCACCCCTGAGGCCCCCAGGGACCCTGATGAGGAGCTGAGGGGTCCTAGGTGGGGAGGAGTCATTCTCTTTTTCCCTGTCTCTGTCTCTTTCTCCCCCTGCACTTCTCTCTCCTTTCTCCCATCTCCCTCTGTCTCTCCCCCTCTCTCTCCCTCCCTCTCTCTCCCTCCCCCGCATCTACCGCTTGCTTTTGTTTTTGTTTTTGTTTTTCTTGAGACAGAGTCTGGCTGTGTCACCCAGGTCGGAGTACAGTGGTGCGATCTCGGCTCACCCCAACCTCCGCCTCCCAGGTTCGAGCGATTCTCCTGCCTCAGCCTCCCGAGTAGCTGGGATTACAGGCACCTGCCCGACTAATTTTTGTATTTTTAGTAGAGGCCAGGTTTCACCATGTTGGCCAGGTTGCTGTCTAACTCCTGACCTCAGGTGATCCGCCCACCTCGGCCTCCCAAAGTGTGGGATTACGGGCACGAGCCAATGCACCCAGCCCCTGCACCCCCTTTCTATCTCTCTGTCTCTGAAATAAGTCAGTCAAGGATCCCACCCTGTGCACGGCCCACTATGTGACCAGCTGCTTGGCAGGGCCTGGGCCACTGCTCTCAGGGACAGGTGCCTGGCGTAGGCGGGGAGGCGCTCTCTCTCAGTTTACTTTTCTACAGCATACATTTCTGGATTGGTGAAACATTATCTTTGTCTTTAGAGGGAACAATAAAGCTATTTTCAGCTTGGAAACAAATGAGTCCAATGGTAAATAAACCCCCAAGGCCGGTGCTGGGCAGGCCTGCGCTGTCGTCACGGTGGAGGCCGCCAGCCTTCCTTCCCGGGAAGGGCTTGGTTTCAGGGTGGGGGGCACAGAAAGGTTGTGAGGAGCCCAGGAGCAGAGAGGCGGGAGGGCAAAGGAGACAGGGAGCAGCCTGGAGTCACGAGACTGGACAGACCCGCAGGTTTTACGGATCCAGACACTGAGGCCCAGAGAGGGTGAGCGCCCTGCCCTAGGATGCACAGCCTGCAGGTGCTTGGTGCCACTTCCTGGAGCTCTGCCGGGCACCACGGCTCCAGGGAGTGCTCCAGTGTTTTCTCAGCACTTGGGAACAGATGGCTCCAACTCTCACCCACGGATGCCAAACATTTTCCCTGGTTACCCTGCTAATTTGCTCACAGCCTCCTCTTGTAAATAGAGAGTACAAAGGTTCCTCCGAGTAGCGTGTCTGCCGGGCAGACGCTGATGCCACGGGGAGAGGCCTTAGAAGGAGCCCAGGAAAGTCCCAGGTTAACAGCCAGGTAAGGCCCAGGTAAGGCTAGGATCCTTGGCTGACCAGGGGATCGTGGGAGGGGATCGTGGGAAGGACAGTGGCTCGGGGCCCCGGCAGGTCTGGGTTCAGGTCTTGGCTCTGTGCTCCCTTGGAGCCCAGCTGGGAAACTCGCACTGGCCTCAGGCCCTCTGGCATCAGTTTTCTCATCTGTAAAATGGGCATGTTAATGCCAAAGGCGTAAAACAGGAGCTATTATGTAGGCGCTCAGGGACTGGATGAATCTGTAGGAATCTAGCCATCCTTCCTGCCTTCATCTGGGGTCAACAGGGTGGGGGCTGCACCCTGGGCAGCATCCCTGCCCCTCTGTCCCCAACAGTAGTCCCTTCACCCAGCCCTTATGACAGAATTCTTCCAACAACACTTACCAGGTCCTCCTCAGTACCCAGCCCTGTCGCCAGGCCCAGAGAGGAGCTGATTCAAGCCTTCTGCACTGGGTGGCCTTGGACAGCTCCCTTCACCTCTCTGGGTTTCATTCCCTTGAGCCTCCCGCAGAGGTCACAGGGAGGATTCCGTAAGATGATGTGTGCTCAGAGTGCTCAGAGTCACTCCTACCATGCAGCAATCAGGGAAGGCTTCCTGGAGGAGGCAACACTAGTCCTTACACTTTACAGATGCATGGGCATGACTGGGTATGGCTGGTGCTTCCAGGGATGGGTTGGGTGCGGAGGCACCTCATGGGCTCGAGCAGGGCCTGGGATGCCCAGCTGCATGGAGGGGTTTGGAGCCGGCTGGAAGGGGGACTGTAAGCGGACTTCGGGTCCCTTGGGTCTCCCTCCCCCGCAACCTCGTTCACAGCAGCCCAGCCTGTAATGAAGTGCTCCTTCCAGCTGACAGCTCCTGGAGCCGGGCCAGGAGGCTCCTCCTGTCCTAGGCCTGCCTCCAGCTGCTGCCTGCAGTCCCAGGAAGACTTTACCGCACCTCTCTGGCCTAGGGCATCCTGGGGGATGAAGCTCCAGGAGGCCACCTGTGGCTTGGGGCCCCAGTCCCAGAAGCCTGGCCTGGGGCGCGCCTCTCTGGTCTTCAGGACGAGGGATCTGGAATGAGAGTGGAGGCGTCCAGTGAGGCAGCTTAACTGGTCAGGGCCGACGGGACCAGGACCTAGGGAGGGACTGGTGCCTGGGGAGGAACCAGAATCTGCCTGGCCACACTGTGTGACTTGGGTGAGCTCTTCTACCTCTCTGAGCCTAGGCTTCCCGACTGTGTGGGATGTCTCCCCTCCTGTAGTCACTGTGAGGTTCTGAGCAGAGGACACTCTGGGCCCAGAGCCTGGCACGTAGCTGGTGCGGTGAGCGCCAACCCCTCCCTGTTCCTGCAGAGCCCTGCCATTCAGTGCACACAGGCTGCCTTGCCCTCTCCAAAGAGGATCATGGGGCTTCATTTGTTGATTGAATTTGCTTGTTTGGCCCAGATGGTTGGGTCTCGTTTTCTTTTTTCTTTCTTTCTTTCTTGCTCCCTCACCCCGGCTGAAGTGCGGTGGCACGATCTCGGCTCACTGCAACCTCCGCCTCCTGTGTACAAGCGATTCTCCTGCCTCAGCCTCCCGAGTATCTGGGATTACAGGCTCGCATCACCATGCCTGGCTAGTTTTTGTATTTTTAGTAGAGATGGGGTTTCGCCATGTTGGCCAGGCTGGTCTCGATCTCCTGACCTCAGTGGATCCACCCACCTCAGCCTCCCAAAGTGCTGAAATTACAGGCATGAGCCACCACGCCTGGCCATGGGTCTCATTTTCTCTTGCAAGTTTGATTCCATGGTACCTGAATGCAGGGGAAGCAGGCAGTGTCCTGTCCTGGCAAAGGCAGACATGGGGCTAACGCGGAACGGCCCAGGAACTCTGATCCTGGGGCTCAGGGAGTTTGCAAGGGGCATTTCTGCCCATGGTCAGGCTTGCAAGCCTTGGTCCCTGGGCCCACCATACAAAAATTAGCAGGGTGTGGTGGCGAGTGCCTGTAATCCCAGCTACTTGGGAGGATGAGGAAAGAGAGTCACTTGAACCCGGGAGGCAGAGGTTGCTGTGAGCTGAGATCATACCTCTTCACTCCAGCCTGGGTGACAGAGCAAGATTCTGTCT